CCTTTCAGGCATGCTTGGTGCATTGGTACTTCCAGCAGTAAAATAACTTCTTCTATCAGTTACTGACCAATTGTATGTCAAAAAAATTTCAAATCCGTTGTTACCTGTCCAAGCCAAGTGTCGGCTCCGTAGCTCATCTGCCTTAAATAATGCGATGTCAGTTTGCGAATATTCGTTATATTCTTCAGGGCATTATCATCAGAAATAATTGTGACAGTAGTACGTTTGTGAGGCCCAATTGTTACTGCTGAAATAGTCACTGCATATTTAAGAGTTTGTGGCGGTGAATAGGAATGTACACCGAACCAAATGCCTTCTTCCGGCTTAGCGGACCGAACTATTCCTTTTCAATTATTTCCCTTCTTTCTTTACTATAATATATTTCTATAAATTTCCTACGCGATAAACTCTTTCTGCTGACTACTTGAGTTTATTTAAGCCTTGGCTTTTTCCTCACTGTCCTATCTGCTTTTATTCAAAAAAAATTTATCCTTTAGATAATCTGTGAACATCTTTTAATCGCATATATATTAACATACAGTAACTGATATTTCATAAACACTTTTTAGTTTCCTTGAGCTGTTTTAGTTTATCCTCCTGTCTATTTTATCCACTTCTATTTTTTAAAGAAAAGCAACGCAATAAATCAACGTGATAGTTGTTTTAGAACGCAAAAAAATTTCACGGATGCAACAGCATGAACAGGAGCAAGTTTTCAGAGAACTCAACTGGGAACCTAATTTAAATATGTATCACACGAAGTTCATCTGAAGACAATCGCTACTAAATTAATCAGATGTAAAACTCGTTGAAAAAGTTCTACTAAATTTTACTACAGCTTTCTACTGATCATCCTATCACTATTCAGATGATCAGCTACCGGATTAAGCCCGAACAGGTTTATGCAGTTCTATCCTTCTATTTACCTCCAAATTTCAAAAATGAGTCAATGGAACCAAGTACTGAATGAAATGGAAACGCAGACATTGTTGAATTCAGGCCTTAGGTTTGTGACAGACTTTCGTTCTTGATAAACTGTAAACCTCACCATAGCAAGTGATGACCAATGTGAAAAAAGTTACTTCCGGTTGAGGAAAAGAGATTGATTTTGAAGGTTTCATCTTTCTCATCCTCCATATCATCGTATATTCTCACATCAATGTATTTCTCATATTCGCTTCCAACGAACACCAGTTCGCCGTCACTGATCGTTTTGAAATCTTTATCACCTATCGCAGTTACTGCTTCGGTTTCGTAGTGGACGCTGAACGTGCACTCATCGTGACGTCCCAATCGAGTAACAAATGCACGCACGTATTTCTCACTCTCCTTCACCACCTTTAATCAAAATCATCAAAGTAAAATTAACTGTTTGGCAAGATAGGTACACAAGTGGTTGCGTTCAAGATGACATTTTGATGATCAAGATAAACCAAGGGCAGTTCGAAATCGTTAAAACAATCAAAAACTTCTAACGAAAGAAACCGCTGAGCTGTTAATCTTTTTTAGTAAGCGAAAAGAATAGCCCTTTCAACGGTAGGCTAACCGGCATTCGATGCATTATGGTCAGATCAACTGGAAAAGTTGCCATCAGCACAGTGTCGTTCTTCTAAGTTCTCCCCTCTCCTTTCCTCTATTTTCACATCTTTATTCTCCTCTTCTTGCTAGCTGTCCCTTCCTCTAATCATATCTTGTACAATCTGACACATGCTGATCGTATACGTGGCGGGTATGAAGCTGTAGTGATTATTTCCACAACTACCCGCATGTTACGCTCAGCGCAGGTTCAGAACCAAAGAACGAAAACAAGACTGCATCCGAACATATCTTTTTGCACGCTGATACTTAGATTGACCCCTTATCTTCTGCTGTATTTCAGGTATTTCAAATGAGGAGCAATTGGTTTTTCCCGCATACTTGGCCTTATTTCAGCTTGCTTTTTGAATTATGCCTCCAGTAAGGTTTATCCTTGTTGATTTAGAAAGAACAAGCAAGAAGCTCACATAATTATTTTTGACGAATTGCACCATCGGTTCACCGGCGAAACTAGCTGAGTCATCGGGGACACGTACGCTTGCCACACTTGTTCGGCCCAACGTGACCTTTCCCTCTTCGCTGTTGTTATTGTTTGGTGGCTGTAAAAAACCGGTTCCTGTTTCAGGAAAAGTTTCGCAAATTTCAACAGAAGACAAACAAAACACATATCTCTTCTTCTTCTTTTAAGTATCCAGCGCCCCGCACGTATTTTCACAATCTTTTGCGTTTATGCAATTAAAGACACATCAATGTTGAGCCATACCTGCATATTCATATAAAAACTGTATATCTGCTCAGAAAATTTAGCTCAAGAAGTACGAAAGCTAGGAAGTTGAGATTTTGGGACCAAACCGAAGTTGAGATTTTGGGACCAAAATTCGATCGGGTCAAAGTTGCCCTTTGACCCGATCGAATCGTATTAACCAGAAATCAGAACCCTCTCCCGAAAAAACTCGCTCTCTGTGAAACGCGCAGACACTCGGGAAGTAGCCGTTGCGGAGCAAACGCCAAAGCTGATTCAAGGGTTGCTCAAAAACAAGCTGATGGTAGGATTGACTCCCTGGCATGCTCCAGTACCAATTTACCATCGTAACTAATGAAACATTCATAGAATGATTGGTTGTTCCACATGGCGGAAGCCTACCGTCAACATCCTGCATAACAAATACGCTATTTCTGCAGTGACGTCCATGCCAGGATCCGATAGCATATATAAAGCTACTACTTTCAGCTTACATAAGGGACCTGTAGTCAAATCGGACCGGAGACAGTACCATAGGTATTGTGGTTGCATTCTGCAACGTCATAGGTTTCTTACGTGAGTTTTCTAATGCTCACAATAAACAGTCAGTATAATGCTGGTAATGTGTGTAAAATACACACAATGGGCAATATGTATGTTGATTACAGATTACGGTAAGCACAGAGGTGTATAGGTAATCGGAGTTTTGCGTATACGCTAAAATTTCAAATGCCTGACCAGTCTGAGGTGTACGTAGAAAACGTGATTCGGTCGCCATTTCGCGTGTTCGACCAGATCCACGTGAATCTCTTTGACAGACTCGCCAGATCGGAATTGCACCTGAAATTTATGGAAAATCAACACGGATGGCGAGAAGCTCACATAGTAACTCAACTAGCTGTAATCGGTATAAAACTTTCTGGTCTAACAGTGTTACTCTCAAATCACGGATTTGTGAATTTGCCGAAATCCCATGGGACTAGACAAATATTTTACATTTCGGCTTAAGTTATGCTTTTACTCTTTCGCCCAACACGCAACCTTCACTTTGGCCAATGCAACCTTCGCTTTTGCTCAGCTTGCGTCTTTTAGCTTGACCGATCCTAAAATTGTTGTTTGGCTCAGACTGCAGCTTATAGTCTGGTCCAGTATGTACCTTATAACTTATTTTCAGTTTGGCGCAAACGGTTTCTTTGAGTTATCTCGGCCCAGCCTGCACGTATTGTTTCTACTAGTATAAAAGCCATTCGTATCCTATTTGAATAATAGTGCCTTTGCTCTATGTTTTTTGCTACCCACATATAGTACCACTCAATGATTTTCTGCTACCCGAATATGAAAGGTAAAAAACTAACAGTCTCGGATTTCGGCAAAAAATGAAGGTCTCTTTTGGCAACGCCGTTCTTTGTTGCATAGCAGAAAGTGAGTGGTTTTTCAGTTGGCCCACGACGGACAACCTGAAATTGTTGAAATAATCAAAAACCTAGTTACGGCTGATAAAGTCTGCGTAGACACTCAGTAGGTATACTATGTTAAAATTAAGGTAAAGAGAATATCTGCAAAAATTTAACAGCCTTTTCAAAAAGTGTGATTATAAACGTTGTAGGGGAAATTCATCGCAGCACATTTATTTGTCTTTGGGACAACAAATTTCCTCTACGATTCGTTCATTCGTTTCTGTGGTAAATTGGCACTGACGCGTGTAAAGAAGTCAATCTGGCAATCAGCTTACTTCTAAACAACTTTCGAAAGAGGAAGCCGTCGACGGTCTTGCCAGCAAGCATTTGATGCTGGCATTTGCTCAAGCTGAATTAATTCTTAGTTTTTATGCTTCCCACTAAGGTGAGTGCAGAAGTTTTGAGTTTTAATTCTGGCAGAAATTTTTTCGAAACTTACCCAGAGGGTAACTTTGTAGCTTTCCCTTGAGATCGAGTAAACGCGAGCGGAAAATTCGATTGTCCTTTCAACTATAAATTTTCAGAATAATTAATTGCAATGTTATTTATTAACTAACGTATTTATTAGTCATTTTACAAGGGTACTTGTTACTAGACCAGGACATCCGGCTTCACTAAGGTACCAACCTCTAAATGTTCCGTTCAATCAACAGTATCCATGTGGATATCAAAGAAAATGAACCATCGAAATTTTGACCGGAATGAGGGTATTACTGCTAATAGTGAAAATTTGTGGTCAAAAAAGCAAATTTAGGTTTGGGTAACATTTATATTTGTAGAATTTTTCTCATTTACGACAGCGATGCCAGCCATTGGTGTCACTTGTGGTATGTGGTTCCCACGCTTCTACGCCTCTTAAGTAATAGAAAAGACGGGGTTAGAGAAGCGGAGGCTGACCCTAACTTTAATGAGGCAAATTTTTGAGGTTAAGTGGAAAATTAGCTCAATGTTTCGAGTTCAGAACATTACTTGTTGGTACTTCTCTAACTCGATCGGTTTCTTCGATTGCCTCCAATCGCGTATCGGGCTTCCGAGCAGCTGCAGCTAACCAGCGTGCCGCTTGAATACGATACCATAGGCGGTCATGTTCCTAGATTGGTAGCTTTAGCAAAAATTATTCAAAAAAAAATGCTAAAATTCTGTGACACACCACAATATTAAGTGACAGTGATGGAATAAAACAAGGGATTTCATGATACCTGGACTTGCTTTAATTTATTTGCTAGCAGCCTCGACTGTTGATCAGGTGAT